GAGCCATCTCCGCAAATTTTTCCAGTTGTCTCTTAAAGCCATCCACGTTGGTGGCCATCCATGCCTCATGTGGGAGTGAGTTCCATAGGTTAACTTTGTTCTGCATGGAGAAGTCCTTTCTTTCAGCTGCCCTGAACCCTTCTCAACATTCATTAGATGTCCCAAAGTTCTAGTGTGGGGGAAATCAAAGTACAATATTAAAAACAGTTAAAACCAATTATATTCAAGAGCAGAGGGTGTGTAGCGTCCGTCCGTCTGTCCATATGTGTATATCTGGGGAGGGGGGAGTCCCTTCCAACTCTGTTATCACAGTAACATTTGAGTTTTTAAGAGCAATGCCAAAAAAGGCAGACGTCTCCTACATGTTCCTGCGTGTTCGTCATGACTAAACCAACTCAATTTCTGTTGATTCACATAAATGTGGAATTGGTTAACAATGTATTGTCTTTGAATTTGGGAATTGGGGAGAGACAGGAAAGTCCTCACAGTGCCGGTTCTCCTCTGAGCTGGGTTTATTTACAGACACCCATCTGAGTCACCAGTCACCACCCTGCCCATTTGGGGTTGATTTACTATAGGACGGTGAGGGAGGGGCGAGAGCACTCCAGAGTTTCAGGACTCCAACTCCCATCTTCCCTGCTTGTTGGCCGTGCCAGGGTGGGTAGTTGTACGCTCATGGGAACTGGGATCCCACAGCCCCTGGCAGGGCAAGGCTTGCCCATCCCTGCCCATTAACACAATAATAGCAATCTGGCTTCTCCAAGTGAGGAGTTCTGGGCACCCCAGTTTAAGGAGGATGTATGAGCTGCTTGACCGTGGAAAAGACTCCCTCAGAAGGTGGGCTCTCTTGCCTTGGAGGTTTTTAAACTAGGGTTACCAGACGTCCCCGTTTCCCGGGGACAGTTCCCAGATTTGTGAATAAGTCCCCGGACAAATTCCATCCCCAGAATGTCCCCGGATTTCATCTAATGTCCCCGGGAAATGCAGCAGCGGCAGTCTCAGCAGCCCGGAGCAGTTGGCTCTGGCTGGCTTCAGGAGATGCTCGGAAGTCCCCATATGATGGCGGTGCAGGGGCTCTCAGGTGCAGCTTCTGGGCTGCCTCCACCTTCCCTGGCCCCAGCAACTCAGCTGTGAAGGGAGGCTTCATGCTGCCTATCGGAGAAGAAGAAGAAGAAGAAGAAGAAGAGGAGGAGGAGGAGGAGGAGGAGGAGGAGGAGGAGGAGAAGAAGAGGAGGAGGAGGAGTTGGAGTTTGGATTTGATATCCCGCTTTATCACTACCCGAAGGAGTCTCAAAGCAGCTAACATTCTCCTTTCCCTTCCTCCCCCACAACAAACACTCTGTGAGGTGGGTGGGGCTGAGAGACTTCAGAGAAGTGTGACTAGCCCAAGGTCACCCAGCAGCTGCATGTGGAGGAGCGGAGACGCGAACCCAGTTCACCAGATTACGAGTCTTCCACTCTTAACCACACCACCACACTGGCTCTCAGCTCCTACTTGCATGCAAGCAGGAGCGGGGACGGGGATCTCTCAGGCAATGGGAAGCCTCCCTTCCCAGCTGAGGGATCCCCGGACCTCCTGCTTGCACACAAGTAGGAATGACGCTCTTGGCCCTCTTCCACCTTCCATGCCGGACCCACCGCGCACCGCTTCCCCACCACCGCCACCGAAGAACCAACAACTCAGAGGCTGCTCAGGCTCATGGAGATAGGAGCCTCGGAGGAAGGGGGAATGTGGCGGTTGAGGTCAAGGCAGCAGCTGCCCCTCTGCCACCGCCATCACTGCAACATCAACGTCCCAAACGTATAGTGTTTATTTATTTAAAGTGTCCCCGGATTCATTGGAAAAAAATCTGGTAACCTTATTTTAAACAGAGGTGGGGGGGGAGAGATCTGCTAGAGGAGGGGTCAGCAACCTTTTTCAGCCGTGGGCTGGCCCACCATCCCTCAGACCATGTGGTGAGCTTTTGGGGGGGGAAATGAATGAATTCCTATGCCCCACAGATAACCCAGAGATGCACTTTAAATAAAAGCACACATTCTACTCATGTAAAAACACCAGGCAGGCCCCACAAATAACCCAGAGATGCATTTTAAATAAAAGGACACATTCTCCTTAAGTAAAAACATGCTGATTCCCGGACCATCCACGGGCTGAATTTAGAAGGCGATTGGGCCGGATCTGGCCCACGGGCCTTAGGTTGCCTACCCCTGTGCTAGAGTTCCTTTAGCTGTGATTTCTGTTTTGCAGGTTGGACTAGAATGGATGGCCCTTGGTCCAACTCTCCAGTGCTATGGTTCTATGAAGGAGGAGGAGTCTCTGGCTCCGCTCCATCTTTGAGGGCTGCCATCACACCCCCCCAGGTGCCTTTCTCAGGGCAGGTATCTCAGGCACAAGTGGCGAGCCTTCCGCTACCCCCTCGGCTTGTCATCACTCTCTGCACTCGATGACTCCGGTTATGAACTTGCTCTTTTCTCGCACAGTCTTTGCCAACTGTCACCTCATGACAACCCATCTGTGGCTGCCACACCTGGACTGTAGTTTGGGGTTCTTCAACTGCAGAACAGGTAGAAAAAATGCCCTAGGGCCAAGGCCGGTTGAGTCTCAGGAAGAAGGCCTTTCCCATGAAGAAACCAGAGGCCTTTCTCCTGGGCATTGTCGGCCAATTGGTGCCAAAGAAGGATAGAACTTTCTTTATGTATGCCACAACAGCAGCGAGAATACTTATTGCAAAGTATTGGAAGACACAAGATCTACCCACCCTGGAAGAATGGCAGATGAAGGTGATGGACTATATGGAACTGGCGGAGATGACCGGCAGAATCCGAGACCAGGGAGAAGAGTCGGTGGAAGAAGATTGGAAGAAATTTAAAGACTATCTACAGAAATATTGCAAAATTAATGAATGTTAGAATGATGTTGGAATGAAGTTAAGTGATTTTAGCAGCAATGTTATTAAGGAGTATGTAAAAATGGATCATTAACAGGTGAGAATCTAAAGTCATAATATATTAAGATAAAGGATTCAGATAAAAACAAAGAGGGAAAGGATTTGCTGAAATAACTAACTGAACTGGAATGCAAAAAAGGGAGGTGTAAGGAGGTCAGGTAAACAAGTGAATGAAAGACAAGATATGGAAAGACTGATTTGTTTTTAATTGTTATTCTATTTTTTCTGTTTTTTGTATTTTCTTTTTTTTCCTTTTTCTTGTATTATTGTAATTTTGTTTGAAACTTTAATAAATATTATTTTTTTAAAAAAAGGAAGAAGGCCTTTCCCATTACCTGCTTTTAACAGGAGATTATAAGAACTGAAGCCTCCGGCATGCAAAGTATAGTATCCTAGAGTTGGAAGGTTCTCCAAAGATCATCTAGTCCAACCCCTGCTGAAGCAGGAGATCCGCTGCCACTGCATCCCGCCACCTTCTGAGACAGTCTGTTCCATGGAGCAACACCTTAGGCCATCGCGATGTTTTGTTTATTTTTATTATGTATTTTGTGCTTTGCATATTGTAACGTTGTGCGGTGCTCCGCCCTGAGACCTATGGGTATATGGAGTATGCAAACAACAACATCAACACTCTCAGGTAGCATTTCAAGAGGAACAGCAATGAATGGTGCCCAGTATTCATAAATCCTTGTGGTGAGTGATCTTTCTCTTGCAACAGAAACAGAGAAATTATTAACACCCAATTGCAGCAAGATGAGAGACAGTAGCCGGGCAGGACAGGAACCAGCAATGCCAGCACAGAAGCTAGGTAAAGGTAAAGGTACCCCTGCCCGTACGGGCCAGTCTTGACAGACTCTAGGGTTGTGCGCCCATCTCACTCAACAGGCCGGGGGCCAGCGCTGTCTGAAGACACTTCCGGGTCACGTGGCCAGCGTGACAAGCTGCATCTGGCGAGCCAGCGCAGCACACGGAACGCCGTTTACCTTCCCGCTAGTAAGCGGTCCCTATTTATCTACTTGCACCCGGGGGTGCTTTCGAACTGCTAGGTTGGCAGGCGCTGGGACCGAGCAACGGGAGCGCACCCCGCCGCGGGGATTCGAACCGCCGACCTTTCGATCGGCAAGCCCTAGGCGCTGAGGCTTTTACCCACAGCGCCACCCACGTCCCACAGCACAGAAGCTAAGAGAAGATAAATAGAGCAGCTATTTTGGGCAGCTCCCCACTAAATCAAGGAAATAAATGCAATGGTACCTCGGGTTACATACGCTTCAGGTTACAGACTCCACTAACCCAGAAATAGTACCTTGGGTTAAGAACTTTGCATCAGGATGAGAACAGAAATCATGTGGCAGAGGCACAGTGGCAGTGGGAGGCCCCATTAGCTAAAGTGGTACCTCAGGTTAAGAACAGTTTTAGGTTAAGAAAGGACCTCCAGAACGAATTAAGTTCTTAAACAGAGGTACCACTGTACAAATACAGTGGTACCTCGGGTTACAGGTGCTTCAGGTTACAGACGCTTCAGGTTACAGACTCCGCTAACCCAGAAATAGTACCTTGGGTTAAGAACTTTGCTTCAGGATGAGAACAGAAATCGCAGCGGGAGGCCCCATTAGCTATAGTGGTGCTTCAGGTTAAGAACAGTTTCAGGTTAAGAACGGACCTCCAGAACGAATTAAGTTCTTAAACAGAAGTACCTCGGGTGACAGGTGCTTCAGGTTACAGATGCTCAGGTTACAGACCCACTAACCCAGGTAAGATCTTTGCCTTCAGGATGAGAACAGAAAATTCGCCAAGCAAGAGGCCCCATTAGCTAAGTGGTGCTTCTGGTTAAGAACAGTTCATGTTAAGAAACGGACCTCCAAGAAACGAATTTAAGGTTCTTAAACCCGAGGTACCACTGTAATTTAACTCCACCAGTCTGTTTGGCAGATAGCTCCGTTCTTGGTCCTCCACCAATAAGATCCTCGCCCCCCGCCCAACACATAGCTGCCAACCTTCGCCTTTTTTTGGCGGGAAATTCCTTGCTGATCCTTTATTTTGGAGGGCTGCTGATCCCTTAATTTTCAAATTTTGAAAGTTGACAGTTATGCCCCGACATAAATCTTGGCTACGCCCACGGGCGCACACAACAATCAGGAAGCCTTTCCGTTTCTATGAAAACGAAACCTAAAAAGCAGCAGTTTCTGGGCAGCCTCCCTCCTCCGTTAAGAGCTCCTCTGGAAGAGGAAAGAGCTTCGTGGGAAGACAAGGATGGCTCAGGGGACCTCAGCATCCCTCTCCGAGAGCCAGGTAAGACCCTGGACTTGTCCTGGGAGGACTCGGCTGAGTTTCAGGGAACAAGGAAACTCTCGGGGGCATTTGCAGCCAAGGCATCCTTCCGAAGCTCTTTGCAGATTTGCTCCACTTCCGTGCCGTGACAAGAGATCAGTTTTTAGGGGGTCCAGCTTTTAGGGGGTCCTCAGTGCGCCCACCCCTCCTTTTCAAGCTACTGCAGCCCAGAGGGAGCTGTTCCTCCCTCTCCATTCCCTTGCCTTCTTTTGCATGGTGGGAAAAGGGAGCGGGGGGGGGGAGGAGGAGGAGGGGAAAAAGCTGCAAGACCAGAGACGCTCAAGGATGGTAGTGCGCCCCCCCAAGCCCTGGCACTGGTCCTGCAAGTGATACGCTCTAACATAGGAACTTGTGTGTGTGTTAAAAGTAGAGGAGGGGAGGGTGAAAGCGAAGGAGGGGGGAGAGATATAGAGAATTAAGGACAGGGCGGGGGGGGGGAGACTCGGTTCAGTAAGGAAACCCAGCCAGATGGATGGGGTATAAATAATAAGTTGTTGTTGTTGTTGTTTACAGCTGAATCTACCAAGTTAATGTTTTCTGGACAATATTCAAACCGAAACAAAGCTATCCTCTAAAATTTTCAATTGTCCAAATTTTGCAATCTTTACAGAAATGCATATTTTACCAGCGAAAATGAAATGCAAGCATACTGGGAGGAATTGCTTGCAAAAATGTGTGCATTAGTCAAGACTGCATCTAAAGATGTGTTTATTCTGAAAAAACTGCACCAAAGTGCTGGTGAATTTTCACGACAATTAAAAAAAACAAACCCACAAATTCCTGCAAAATGTGGAGAACTGGATTTAAGACGGGGGGGGGAGAGAAATGAGAAACTGAAGGGAAATGAAATTGGCTTCCATCTGTAATACAGGGCTTGGTGGGAGTGAAGAGGGGCCAGAGTCCCTAAGAGGCTCTGAACAGAATCGACATCACAGTCACCAGAGTGGAACCAGCAAATACTCTGTCTTACCCAGGAAAGGGATTTGCCCCCATCTAAAAGTGTTTTGGAAAAGGCATTTTTCATGTCTGCTGTTGGAGGCAGTAAGACTTTGCATACCAGTCACAGGGGGTTGGGGGCGGGGAGTTGTGCTCATGTCCTACTTGTGGGTTTTGCAAAGGCATCTGGTCTTCCACCCTGAGAAGACGATGCTGGGCTAGATGAACCATGGGCCGGATCCAGATTCTTACGTTCTTGTGTGTCCTTGCAAGAATACCTTCATCTAGGTTTGGTCCTTTTCTTACCTCAGCAGGAAGCTGAAAGCTATCAGGAAATGAGTAATTATTAACTCATTCTGCCTTCAATTGTGTTACGCAATGCTAAGTACATAGTTTCCATTATAAATAATAATTCATGCCCTGCCTCAACCCGAAACTGTAAAAAGGAGAGCTCAGGGGGCATATAAGGTGTTGGGACAACATCTTATCTTATGCCCAGCCATGTGCCTTAGTGCTCTGATACAACTGCTGGCTTGTGTACCTTGTAACCTGATCTGTGCTTGAGCCAGTTGTGCATTTGGCAACCGTGGCAGCTGAGAGGCCAAGTGTCAGGAGAGGCTCCCCTTCTCCAAAGTAGTAGGTAGCCGTGTCCTCTGGCTCAAGAGGATGCAAACCCTAGGAACACCTGAGCGCTGAAGTTCCAAGATCTGGGACCAGAGCAGCAGCCCCCTCTGAGAAAGGCCAGGCCTGTGAGTCACTAAACCCCTGGGCTGCTTCAACAAAAGCCGGTTCTGGGCCATGAGATTCAGCTGCAAAGTGGGGCTTGTGGGATCTCTGATAGACAATGTAGATTCACCTTTGCTTTCCAAAACATGCAGTTACGGAAAAAATGCCATACAGAAATGTGCAAGCTGGGAGGAATTTGCAGCAAAATGCTGATGATTCCCCCACCCCCCATTTTCCTATCCCTACTTGAAGCTTAACGGGCATCTTCCAAACTGTTGCCCCTTATCCTTGTTTTTCCACAACAGGAGATGGGTGAATTACAGTTCCTCTTGTGTGAGAGTTGCCAGGGGGAAGTTCAGAGCCCCAAACTGCTGCCATGCCTTCACAACCTGTGCACCCAGTGCCTCCAAGAAAACCAGCCCAGCGGTCACTGTGCCATATGCAGATCCCCATACTCTCTCCCTGAACTGAAGCCCAACATGCTCTTTGCAAACCTTCAGTCCCAGCTGAGCATCTTCCAGAAGATCAGCCAAGCCAAGATCTGGCCTGCAGCTGTAGCTCTGAGAGAGAGGCGGTGTTCTGGTGTTCCGAATGTGACTGGCACTTTTGCGACGGCGTGTGTTTCACAAACCACGAGAGAGTCAAGAAGAACAGCCTCCATGAAGTCAAAGCACTGAAGAATCTCCAGGGCATGTCGAGCGCAAAGTTCCTTGCAGAGACCAGAAAGCAAAGTGTCATGAACTGTCCCAAGAAAACCCACAATAACGATGCTGCAAGGTAGGTGGTCCATCAGCGCTTCGTTCTCGGTCTGAGATCCAGGGCCATCTTAAGCATATCCTGCGCCGTGGTGCCAGGATCCCTTCGGCCCCCCATTTCCAGGGATGTTGACCTTTTCCCAAGCCTCTGCAGGGATCACTCTCCTCCCGCGAAGGCTTGGGAAGGAAGCTGCATGCCCACCAGCCATATGGTTGACGGGGCACAGCTGGCGAGTGGGCAGGGAAATGGGATGCCGCTGGCAAAGCCGCGCAGCTCCCCCACTCGCTGGGGCGCCCCTGAAAGTCTGGTGCCCTGACACGATGCACCACTAAGCCCAATAGGAAAGACGGCTCTGCTGAGATCTTATTTTGAGTGCCAGGGTTGAGTGCCCACTGTCCCATCCTCTGCCTGAATGCTTGTGGGTTTCCTACCATGGGTGTCTGGTTGGCCACTGTGAGAATAGGATGCTGGACTAGATGGGCCATTGGCCTGATCCAGTGGGCTGCCTCCAACGGAATCCAACTTCCTGGATTCAGATGGATCTAAGGATGAGGTTTCCTTTTTGGTCTAATTTTATTTTATATACAAATACAGCAGCTCAGAAGCATCAGGTTGCATGTATTTATTTAGAGCATTTGTGCCCTGTGGTTGAGCCAGAAATACTCCCAGAACAGATTACATACAATCAAAATGAGCCAGTACCGCAAGTCTATGTAAGTGTCTGGGTTCAGTAAACATTCTTTCCCACTCTGCATGTTTTATCATCAACTCAGTGCATCAATATTGGCAATTGTGACAACTTATCTTTTTAAAAAGGATGCGGGTGGCACTGTGGGTTAAACCACAGAGCCTAGGACTTGCCGATCAGAAGGTCGGCGGTTCGTATCCCCGCGACGGGGTGAGCTCCCGTTGCTCGATCCCTGCTCCTGCCAACCTAGCAGCTCGAAAGCATGTCAAAGTGCAAGTAGATAAATAGGTACCGCTCCGGCGGGAAGGTAAACGGTGTTTCCGTGCGCTGCTCTGGTTCGCCAGAAGTGGCTTAGTCATGCTGGCCACATGACCCAGAAGCTGTACGCCGGCTCCCTCAGCCAATAAAGCGAGATGAGCGCCGCAACCCCAGAGTCGGCCACGACTGGGCCTATTGGTCAGGGGTCCCTTTACCTTTAGCTTTATCTTTTTAAAAAGAACTAATTTTCGGTGTTACTAGAATTTAAAATAATCATAATGAAAAAACTATTAATAATAATAATAACTATGATCAGCGGTCCCAATAACAAAGCCAATGGTGTTTGATTTACAGAGTCTATTGCAATGAGTGTAAGCGGCCCATGTGCGTGGTTTGCGCTACGCTGGACAGCAAACACCAGAGCCAGCACTGCGAAATACCAGACGAAATCAAGCGCATGCAAAACGAGCTGCAGAGCATGCAAAGAGAGCTCAAGAAAAGCAACCACAGCGAAGCCTACCGCAGCCTCCAGGAGCTGGTGGCAAGCATGGAGAAGACGAGGAACGAGACGAGGGAGCTGATCCAGCAACAGATTGGCAAGATGGTGAAGGTGCTGCAAGAAAAGGAGGCCAAGTTCCTAGCAGAAGTGGAGGACCAGCACCAGCAACAAGTCAAGGATGTAGAGAGAAGGCTCAAGGACGTGGAAGGCCTGGTCAAGAGGATGGCATCCAGCGAGCAGCTGGTGGAGAAGATGCAGCTCTACGCCTCTGACCAGGTGGTCTTGGAGATGCAACCCTACATCAAAAGTTCACTGGAGAAGCTCAGAGATAACCAGCCACCAGTTGTCAATTTCCAGATCCAAGCGAGGGACTTTGCAGAGGTCAAGACCCAGCTCCAGGCTCTGTATGAAAGAGTGACAAAGGCCAGAGGTGAGAGTCTTGAAGAGCAATGACTGGCTGGTGTGACTGGCTAGGAGAGGAAGTGAGCCCAGTGGCAGACCTCCTGCTCTGTGTGTGGAAAGGCCTAGGCCCAGTGGTGGCACCAGGGCAGGACTTCTACACTGGTTCTTTGCCAGAGCAAAGAAATAATCAGAGCCACCTTGTTGGTGTTTCCTCTTACACTCCCGCCAGTCAGAAGCTCTCAACATACTGACTGTCATAGCTCATGTGCAGAGAGTTTCGACTTTCAGAGTATCTAGATTGAATACTTTCTGCAGCTCGTCTCCAGATAGGCAGAACAAAAAGATCTGTGCAGCTGCTGCCCACTTTTTGTGTGACAGATTTGCACAGATTGTAAGAGGTCATATTTTTTTGTATGCGGCCATCACTGTGACAAACTTTTGAGTAAAGGAGAGTTGTTTAGCTGGTAGGCTTCAGGGTGGAAGTCTAGAGACCCCATCAACCGAATGAGCAGGAGGGGCCCCCAGAACCAGAGGTGAAGGAATGCGCACGACCCATCTCAAAAAGTGCCGCTCATAAGATAATTAAGCCCAAAGTGTGGACTTAATGGAGAGGTGCATGCTGTAGTTATCTCCCGCTTGGACTACTGCAATGCGCTCTACATGGGGCTACCTTTGAAGGTGACTCGGAAACTGCAATTAATCCAGAATGCGGCAGCTAGACTGGTGACTGGGAGTGGCTGCCGATACCATATAACACCAGTCCTGAAAGACTTATATTGGCTCCCAGTACGTTTCCAAGCACAATTCAAAGTGTTGGTGCTGACCTTTAAAGCCCTAAACGGCCTCGGTCCTGGATACCTGAAGGAGCGTCTCCACCCCCCATTGTTCACTGAGGTCAAGCGCCGAGGGCCTTCTGGCGGTTCCCTCACTGCAAGAAGTGAAGCTACAGGGAACCAGGCAGAGAGCCTTCTCGATAGTGGCACCTGCCCTGTGGAACACCCTCCCAGCAGATGTCAGGGCAATAAACAACTTGTTGTTGTTTAATCGTTTAGTGGTGTCTGACTCTTGGTGACCCCCTGGACCAGAGCACGCCAGGCACTCCTGTCTTCCCCTGCCTCCCGCAGTTTGGTCAAACTCATGCTGGTAGCTTTGAGAACACTGTCCAACCATCTGGTCCTCTGTCGTCCCCTTCTCCTTGTGCTCTCAATCTTTCCCAACATCAGGGTCTTTTCCAGGGAGTCTTCTCTTCTCATGAGGTGGCCAAAGTATTGGAGCCTCAGCTTCACGATCTGTCCTTCCAGTGAGCACTCAGGGCTGATTTCCTTCAGAATGGAGAGGTTTGATCTTCTTGCAGTCCATGGGACTCTCAAGAGTCTCCTCCAGCACCATAATTCAAAAGCATCAATTCTTCGGCGATCAGCCTTCTTTATGGTCCAGCTCTCACTTCCATTCATCACTACTGGGAAAACCATGGCTTTAACTATACGGACCTTTGTTGGTAAACAACTATTTTACTTTTAAAAGACAACTGAAGGCGGCCGTGTTTAGGGAAGTTTTTAATGTCTGATGCTGTATTGTTTTTAATATTCGGTTGGAAGCTGCTCAGAGTGGCTGGCGAAACCCAGCCAGATGGGTGGCGTATAAATAATAATAATAGTCTAAAATTTCCCTAACTGCACCACTGGTTGAAATCCTGCCATCTTGACACTGCCAGCAAAAGCAGCAAAAACACACAGCTGCACAGACCAGTGGTTCGACTCGGTATATAATTTGTCACCTAATCTTACTGCATTGCATTGCGGATGCAATGTTTTGCTGATACTTCATCCCTGCCCACAATTTGACAAAAGCTGGATGCTCCCAGGTCTACTATGCAAAGTCATAAGAAAAGACTGCTGGCCCAGGCCAGAGAGCCATCTCGTTCTCACCGTCAGCCAACTGGCTGCTCTTTGCAGGAAGCCCCCAGAGCAGTACCTGGGTGCAAGAGTAGCTCTCCCCTCAACCGCAGGTCCCAGCTACTGGTGCTCAGAAGCAAGCTGCCTCTTACAGCTTGTGCTGTTGCAAAATGGAGATGGTCCTAAGAAGTGAGAGTCTGTAGGATTTATGTTTATATAGAACAATAAGGATGATTGACAGGAAAGTTTAAAAGGTGTTTTCCTTAAAGCTTTATGGTGCAAGGATAGTCAGTTTTATAGAATAGTAAAGTTTCAAACTGTCAAAACAAAGTTTCGACTGGCCCGTACGGGCAGGGGTACCTTTACCTTTTACCTTTAAAGTTTCAAAGTGAAATACATTCCTTAACGTTTTGTGCACTGAATAGGAAGATGGAAAACTAACAGAGATATGCCAGTAACATCTGCAAGATTGAAATACTTGGTGATTCTGTCTCTGAATAGGAACAGACCAGTTTGCTCCATTTTCTAATTAATAATGCCTCACTCTTTTTTAGAAGCTGTCCCAGGTGGACCGGAAACTACACCCAACCAGGTAAGAGCTGCTTTTGCATACATTGGGACTGGGGAACAAGTGAGCCTCCAGACGCTACTGGACTCCAGTTCCCATCAGTCCCAGGCTGCATGGCCAATGGCTAAGGTTGATGGGAGTTGTGGCCCTACAAATTCTGGAGGGCTGAAGGTTCCCCCGTCTCTGGTGTTCATCATGAACTGGCATCTCCACACTGACAAACTCCAGCTGCGTATATGAGGGATCTTTTCAGAGATGCCACGCAGGAGAGAAAAGAGAGAGTTTAAGGGAGAAGCTGACAGTTTAACCACTGGATAGCGAATGGGGTTAGATAGGCAGGCCAACTTGCTTTCGAATTCTTCAGCGGAAGTGAAATCCTAGCAGGGGCTGAGTGGCTTGGAAAATATGCTCATAGAATTAGGATTCTAGAGTTGGAAGAGCCCCTGAGGGTCCTTGTCATGACTGAGTTGAATAGGATCCAAAATGCAGCAGTCTGCTTGGTCCTAGAACAATAGGATTCAGAATGCAGCAGTCTGATTGGTCCTAGAATAATAGGATCCAAAATGCAGCAGTCTGATTGGTCTAGAATAATAGGATTCAGAATGCAGCAGTCTGATTGGTCCTAGAACAATAGGATCCAGAATGCAGCAGTCTGATTGGTCCTAGAACAATAGGATCCAGAATGCAGCAATCTGATTGGTCCACAGGAGCCACCCAATCCAGCTCTAGGTGGAAGTGAATCCGCAACCTGATTGGCCTATAGGTGAATCCCAGAATTAGCCAATCACATGGGGCCCATTGTGTAAATAATGTATATAAAGCAGACATCCTGGGGGAACTTCCATTCTTCCTCACCACTATGAGCTGAATATAGAGCATGAAATCCGCTCTCAACTCTGAGTATTTTCAGTCATCTAGTCAAAGGCAGCTCACAGATAAAACAGAAACAGCTAAAAACTGGGGAGGGGAACATCCTTAAAAACATTTAAGCATATGTCTATTAAGATATACAGATCTTTGCAATAAAAACACCCCAACACCAGTCCTTTCCTTAAAAACAGGCAGTTCCCAAAAGCCTGTTGGAACAAGAAAGTCTTCGCCTGCCATCAAATTGGGCTGCTTAAAATCCTCTGTAAACAGTGTGTGTCTTGAACTAAGTTTTTGTGCCTCACGGTGGAAACCTTCACAGAGTGTTCAGGACACAATTAGTTACACACGTGGGAAGTGACTCCTCACATTTTGGACCTCTGGGGAGGGAATGAGTGGAGCCTTCACCTTGCTACTGTTTTATTATAAACACTCCCACAAATAGTTAACTTTGGAGTATTCATGTGATAATAGGGGGAGTTTTCTCTATTAAAACACTCATAAAACTGTTTGCATTACCCATCCGCAGGGAGGGTCTGAAAAACAGCCTCCCCGCCATCGCCTTAATGCGGTGGCCAGAAAGACAGATGCCAGCGACCCAGATAGCCCCAGCAGCAGCAACTCAAGCACCAGTAATCTGGTAAGTCAGAAAGCACAATTCACCTCCCTCTGTTCCCCTCCCACTGTCCTGCATTCTCTGGTTGTGAGGAATGTGGGAAGGGGGCTTCCTTCTAGGGGTGTGTGTGTGTGTGTGTGTGTGAGAGAGAGAGAGAGAGAGAGAGAGATTGGAACAGTAAAAATGTGGGATAATGCTAGGAATTGCTACGATAATGTCTGGAATTTCCTGGTAAAGGTAAAGGTACCCCTGACCGTTAGGTCCAGTCGCAGATGACTCTGGGGTTGTGCGCTCATCTTGCACTATAGGCTGAGGGAGCTGGTGTTTGTCCGCAGACAGCTTCCAGATCATGTGGCCAGCATGACTAAGCCGCTTCTGGCGAACCAGAGCAGCGCACGGAAATGCCGTTTACCTTCCCGCCGCAGTGGTACCTATTTATCTACTTGCACTTGACGTGCTTTCGAACTGTTAAGTGGGCCAGGAGCTGGGACTGAACAATGGGAGCTCACAGGGATTCGAACCACCGACCTTCTGATCAGCAAGCCCTAGGCTCTGTGGTTTAGACCACAGCGCCACCCACGTCCCTGGACATACACATAATACTGCAGTTGGAAGCAGTTTCCGGGTGGAAATTGCAAAAATGCCAGTCGGATGGCAACCCATGTCGGCAGTGTTGGTCTGGGCAACTTTCTTTAAATTAGCTTTAAAGCTCAACAGCTTCAGGTAAACCCCCCCCCCGCCCCCCCAAAAGCTCAATAACTTTTGCGTCTGGATTTTATGGCAACACTATATGATGTGGAAGAATCAGAGGGCTCATCTATACTTCCCCTACTTCCAATACTTCTCAACCATATTCTGTACTGATTTATTATCCTGTGTCCAATACCTGATTTTGTTAAAATCAGTTAAGATTTTTATTAAAGTTTTGTTGTGATACAGTAAGGTATAGAAAACGAATGTAAATAAAAAACAGAAACAGCTACCCAAAGTAAAAATAGAATACGGAGCCCTCTCTTAAAAGTAGTTCTCTCATCTCTCACCCTGGGAAACCAGCACTTCCCAGTTTCTCATCCAGCGTCCTCCATCAACTATTTTCCATGGCATGCAGTCCCTGGACGCTAATAAAGATCCCAGACATGGGACTCGAAAGATATAAGAACAGAAAATGAAGAAGAGAAGGGGGAGGGGATAAAAAGAAAGAAGCAGGAAGAAGAAAGGAAGGGGGGAGAAAAGAAAAAGAAACAAATAAAAATAAAACAGACTTCCGATTTTCCATCTGCCAGTTACATAAATAAGTTATTTAAGATATGCACTCCATGATAGCATCCATCTTCTCCACTTTCTGTTAAACAATATTTCTTTTAAATTCAAATGTCTCAAAATCACTCATTTCTTTTCCCCACAAAAATGCAAAGAGTCCAAAGTAGTAGTATTAATAATATAGTAGTAAATGCAACTGTGTTCAAAGATTAAAACCTCTCAGCTGAAAGATCAAGAGGGAACTTGGTTCACTTTTTATTAGGGGACAGGTCCCCTTAACATTTCTGACAAGATGGTCTGCACTGTCTTTAGAGTAGCATTTTCAATGAGAAATATTTGTGGGCCTAAGTTGAATTCTTTAGAAGAGCAAATTTTTATTAGATGGAATGCCTAACTTTAACGATTATTTTAACTGCGTAATATTTTTGTATGTGTGGTTTTGGGGTTTTTTTGTATCTCACTTTGTAGTGGCTTTCGCTGCACAAAGGAATTAATTAATTAATGGCCATATCATCCTATTCCGTGCTCTTGTCTCCCAGGGCCACCTCCCAAAGTCGCCAGCAAAGAGGAACTATGCCTACCTGGAAAGGGCTGTCCAGACCCCTACAAAAGTGGTGAAAATGGAACATGATGACGATGGTGCCAGATCCAGGCAGCTGCCTAGCAACAGGAGGCTGGAACAAACTTGGACCAGTTCTCAATCTCCAGGATGCTCCCCTTCCAGAGGGAGCAGGGACAAGGCAGGAGAAGGCATGGACAGCTCAAAGTGTCCCCCCATGTCTGACCCAGAGCTGTCTGAGCCAGGTACAGACAGAAGCTGCTGTTTTACTCAGGGATTCTTAAGACCCAGTCACACATTTTTGATATCTTTTTTGAGGGGGGCGGGATACTAGTGCCTTCTCATCGTGAGAAGTGAGCTTCTCATTGTGAAATCGACAGCCTAAAGAAGGCTGAATTGTTTAATCCAGGTATTTTTATTTATCTGTGGCATTCATACCCCACCTTTTTCGCCAAGGAGCTCCGCACCTCCCCATTCTTAGGTTGAGGGGCAGGGACTGGCCTCATCAAGGTACCCGTTGAGCTTCATGGCTGAGTGGGGACTTGAAGCCTGGTCTGTTCCCCAGTCATCGTCTGACCAACCACTACACCACGCTAGCTCTCAAATAGTAACATTGGTACGTCGTCAGCAGGATTTGAACCCATGGGGCAAGATCCCAGTGGATTTCTAATCCATCACCTGAACCACTTGGCCACCAAGTGTGAGGAACCTGGTGCCCTGCAAATGTCACTAAACTACAACTCCCACCCACATCCCTGACCATTGGCCACTCTGGAGGGGTGTGGTCTCGCCATCCCCGGTTTAATCAGTCAGGTCACATAGTGGATTGAAACCTTCTCTATTGATTAAAAAGCACCCACAATAAATCAGGTTTTCAAAAATACAGTGGTACCTCAGGTTACATACGCTTCAGGTTACAGACTCCGCTAACCCAGAAATAGTACCTCGGGTTAAGAACTTTGCTTCAGGATGAGAACAGAAATCGTGCGGCGGCAGCGGGAGGCCCCATTAGCTAAAGTGGTACCTCAGGTTAAGAACAGTTTCAGGTTAAGAACGGACCTCCGGAACGAATTAAGTTCTTAACCCGAGGTACCACTGTATATATTTTTAATACAGGTACATACACAAATCTTGGAAGAAGCATTACCTGGTTGAAAGAAAGACAGGAATGCATTTTTAAAACTGGAGCCAGCTGTGAGAGCAGTGTGCCTCGTCCAAAAATAATAATGTGCTTGTTTGTGTGTACAGTGGTACCTCAGGTTAAGAACTTAATTCGTTCTGGAGGTCCGTTCTTATCCTGAAACTGTTCTTAACCTGAAGCACCACTTTAGCTAATGAGGCCTCCCGCTGCCACCGTGCCGCCGCTGTGCGATTTCTGTTCTCATCCTGAAGCAAAGTTCTTAACCCGAGGTATTATTTCTCGGTTAGCGGAGTCTGTAACCTGAAGCATCTGTAACCTGAAGCGTCTGTAACCCGAGGTACCACTGTATATTGTAACTTAATATTAGAAAGTGCTTTCCGATATTAAGAGCCACATGGCAGTGGGAAAGGCCAGCGCAAAAGGCTAGCCTTCATTGGATGTCCGGCTTTTCTCTTGCAGGTGATGCTCCTGTGAGCATTTCCTCGGGAGACGAAATCACCGACGACGAATCTGTGGTGAGTGCAGAGACCCAGGTGCTGCCACGCTGCCGCTTGGTGCCCTCCTCACTGCCCCCTGGACAACGGAGTCCCTTGTGAAGGCCGTGGTCTCACAGCACGTTGGTGGCCCTTTTCAGCTATACAGAATGATAAAAGAGCAATCCTTTTCTTGCACCTGATTGTGGCATAGGCGCAGCGAAGCAAACCTTCGATGTTCGTAGAATTGCAGAGTTGGAAGGGACCCCGAGGGTCATCTAGTCCAAGCCCCTGCAATGCAGGAATCTCAGCTAAAGTATCCAAGGCAGATGGCCAGCCAACCTCTGCTTAAAAACCTTCAAGGAAGGAGAGTCCACCACCTCCTGAGGGAAATTGTTCCACTGTCAAACAGCTCTCACTGTCAGAAAGTTCTTCCTGATGTTTAACCAGAATATCCCTTCTTGTAACTTGAAGCCATGGGTTTGAGTCAGTACCATATTTACATATAAGCTAAACAAGCTATAGCTTAGGGCCCCACTCCAAAAAATATACTTTTTCTTAATTGTAATTCCACTATTAATATACTTGGGACGCGGGTGGCGCTGTGGGTAAAACCTCAGCGCCTAGGACTTGCCAATCGCATGTCGGAAGTTCGAATCCCCGTGGCGGGGTGCACTCCCGTTGTTCGGTCCCAGCGCCTGCCAACCTAGCAGTTCGAAAGCACCCCCGGGTGCAAGTAGATAAATAGGGACCGCTTACCAGCGGGAAGGTAAACGGTGTTCCGTGTGCTGCGCTGGCCACGTGACCCGGAAGTGTCTGCTATAGAGTGAGATGAGCACACAACCCTAGAGTCTGGCAAGACTGGCCCATACGGGCAGGGGTACCTTTACCTTTACCTATATACTTCTTAATTGTATTTCAGTTCAACAATTACTTGGATAAAATACATATTTTGTTATGTGCAAATGGCTTTAGATACATATTAGGTCCACAAATTACCATATAGCATATGTTCAACACAGGAAAAACCAGCAACAATTTGTTGTTGACAAAGGACAGCTGGACATATAAAGGGCCCCATTACCTTTAGTAGCTCAGGGCCTCATCAACCCTAAATCCGGCCCTGGTTTGAGTCCTACTCTCCAGAGCAGGAGAAAACAAGCTTTTTCTATCCTCCATGTGACAGGCCTTGAAATATTTGAAGATGGCTATCATATCTCCTTTCAGTCTCCTCTTTTCCAGGCTGAACATACCCTGCTCCTTCAACCACTCCTCATAAGGCTTGGTTTATAGACCCTCGATCATCTTGGTGGCCCTCCTCTGCACACCTTCCAGCTTGTCAACATCCTTCTTAAATTGTGGTGCCCAGAATTGGACACAGTATTCCAGGTGGGGTCTGACCAAGGCAGAATAGAGTGGAACTGTTCCTTACCTTGATCTGGGCACTAGCCTACAATAGCATTCATTTTTTCTTTTTCTTTCTTTCTTTCTTTCTTTCTTTCTTTCTTTCTTTCTTTTTCTTTTTTTTTTTTTTTCTTTTTTTTTTTTTTGCTACTGCATCAATCACACTGCTTGTGGTCTCCTAAGACCCCTGGATCCTTTTCACATGTACTGCTAGTAAGCCAGGTGTCGCCCATCATATATTTGTGCATCTGGTTCCTCCTGCCTAAATGCAGAACATTTGTACCCATTGAAATTCATTTTGTAAGTTTTAAGTCCAGGTCTCCAGTCTGTGAAGGCCCTTTTGAATCCGGAGTCTGTCTTCTGCGGCATTGGCTACCCTTCCCAGGTTGCTGTCACCTGCAAGTTTGATGAGCACCCCCTCAATTCCTTCATCCAAGTCATTTAGAAAGATGTTTAACAACAATGGGGCCAGGACAGAACCCTGCAGCATCCCATTTGTCACTTTTTTCCAGGATGATGAGGAATCACCTTAATGGTCCACTTTGTAAATCAGCCGAAAGGTGATGTTTGAGTCCAAAAATCTTACTCGTGACATTTTTACTGCAATTCCTAGGGGTTTGGACCAGATGACCTTTGGGGGCAGGGCCAGATTTATGTATAAACTAAGCAAGCTATAGCTTAGGGCCCCACTCTCTTGGCCCCCCCCCAAAATATACTTCTTAATTGTATTTCACTGTTAATATACTTCTTAATTGTATTTCAGTTCAACAATTGCTTTGATAAAATACATATTTTGTTATGTGCAAATGGCTTTAGATACCTATTAGGTCCATAAATTACCATATAGCATATATTCAACACAAAAAACAGCAGCAATTTGTTGTTGACAAAGGACAGCTGGACATATAGAGGACCCCCATTACCTTCAGTAGCTTTGGGCCTCATCAAACCTAAATCCGGTGCTGCTTGGGGGTATCTTCCTTCTCGACAGTTCTGTGATTCTGCGAATAAAATCTTGTTAGTCTTTTAAGTTGTCACAATGCTTTTTTTTCTGAGTCGTGGAATCCTCCCCTCCCCAAGGCAGCAGTGCAGTGGTTGTGGCTGGGGGGAAAAGGTGAGTCAGTGGCCCATAATCTCTGAAGTGTCCCCCCCCACTTGTCTGTCTTCTCGCCAGGAATCTAGCTTGCTACAGGACATCAGGAACAGATCACAGAATAGCCAGGAAGAATGCCTGAGGCAGGAGTTTCAGTTGGGGCAAGGGACCATGGTGTTCTTCGACCTGAAGCTTCTACGTAAGGGGCTGAGAGCCACTTTTGAAATCAGATACTGCAAAATTATCGCTTGGGAAGAAGGGATGGGGGAGCAATTCAGTTCAATTTGCATTTGAAGGCAAACCCCCTTGATTTGCAATTTCCAAAACAATGCATAAACCAAAACCCAGCCATCCTGCAAAGTCTGCGCTTCTGCACAGTCTGAATTTGGCAGTGCAGTTATCCAGCCAAGTCAGGCGCACAAAATTTCATATCCCAGGGTAAAGTGTGCATAAAAACACACATGTATTGCTAAAAAGGATATATAATAATATTAATTTATTATTTGTACCCCGCCCATCTGGCTGGGTCTCCCCAGCCACTCTGGGCGGCTTCCAACAAGGATTAAAAATACATTAAAATGTCACACATTAAAAACTTCCCAAAACAGAGCTGCCTTCAGATGTCTTCTAAATGTCAGGTAGTTGTTTATCTCTTTGACATCTGATGGGAGGGCGTTCCAGAGGGCGGGCACCACCACCGAGAAAGCTCTCTGCCTGGTTCCCTGGAACCTCACTTCTTGCAGCGAGGGAATCGCCAGAAGTGTCCAGGCTGGACGATGGGGCTGGAGACGCTCCTTCAGATATACTGGACCGAGGCCGTTTAGGGCTTTAAAGGCCAACACCAACACTTTGAATTGTGCTTGGAAACGTACTGGGAGCCAGTGTAGGTCTTTCAAGACCGGTGTTATATGGTTCCAGTGGCCGCTCCCAGTCACCAGTCTAGCTGCCGCATTCTGGATTAGTTGTAGTTTCTGGGTCACCTTCAAAGGTAGCCCCACGTAGAGTGCATTGCAGTAGACCAAGCAGGAGATAACTAGACCATGCACTACTCTGGCAAGACAGTCTGCGGGCAGGTAGGGTCTCAGCCTGCATACCAGATGGAGCTGGTAAACAGCTGCCCTGGACACAGAATTGACCTGTGCCTCCATGGACAGCTGTGAGTCCAAAATGACTCCCAGGCTGCGCACCTGGTCCTTAAGGGGCACAGTTACCTCATTCAGGACCAGGGAGTTCTCCACACCAGCCCGCCACCTTTTCCCCAAGAACAGTACTTCTGTCTTGTCAGGATTCAACCTCAATCCATTAGCTGCCATTCATCCTCCAACGGTCTCCAGGCACTCACACAGGACTTTAACTGCCTTCACTGGTTCTGATTTAAAATAGAGGTAGAGCTGGGTATCATCCGCATATTGATGGACACCCAGCCTAACCCCCCTGATGATCTCTCCTAGTGGCTTCATGTAGATGTTAAAAAGCATGGGGGAGAGGGCAGAACCCTGATGCACCCCACAAGTGAGTGCCATGGGGTCTGAACACTCATCCCCCACCACCACTTTTTGGACACGGCCCAGGAGGAAGGAGCGGAACCACTGTATTGCAGTGCCCGCTGCTCCCAGCCATTCTAGACGGTCCAGAAGGATGTTATGGTCGATGGTGTCAAAAGCCGCTACAAGAAAGTCTTATATTAGGGAAAACTGGTTTGCAGAAATGTGCAGATTGGGCAAAACTGTGCACACAAATGTGTAGATGAGGAGAGATTTGAACTAAAATGTTGGTGGCTTTTCATGAGGAGTTTCTCTTTTTTTAAAAATCTACAAACTGATGTGGAATTGTGGAGAACCAAACCTAAGACTGGAAAAAGAGAAACCGAGAGAAACCAAAGTTGGCATATGTTCCCATCCCTAATTGGGAGTGAAGGGAGAGGCTGGTGTATCAGAGGGGCATCGGGAAAGGGGCTGCTCACCTGCTGCCCCTGCTCACCAGCAGGGAAGATGCTACCAACTTTTTCTTCTTCCAACATACATTCCAATGAGAGCACAAGCTGGTATCAGATCAGATCAGCCTTCTGTTTTCCAGTGGTGCCTAGCCAGGGGCCACAGGAGAAATCCACAAGTACATGATGATACCACAAACTCACCTGGAATTGGAGACTCAGTCAGGGCAAGCAGAATCCTGACAAGACTCAGTTCCTGTGGCAGGTGGCCTGTTCCGGCAGGTGGGTGTGTTTGTCATGCACGTACCCTTGAAAGTCTGGGGTGCTCCGACATTGGGAGCCCCTTTCCTCAACTTCGTGGAAAGGGATAGCCTGGCCACCTTGTGGTTAGATTACTGTGATGTTCTTTACGTTGGACTACCCTTGATGATAGTTTGGGGACTGCAGCTTGTGCTAAAGTCTTTTTGTAAGGCCCTTTGAGGTTTCCTCCAATCAAGGAGTGTTTAAATTTTACGAAATAGAAATATTATAATAATTTATTATTTATACCCTGCCCATCTGGCTGGGTTTCCCCAGACACTCTGGGCGGCTTCCAATTGAATGTTAAAAACAATACAGCATCAGACATTAAAAACTTCCCTAAACAGGGAATCCTGTTGTCTTCAGTTATCTTTTAAAGGTAAAATAGTTGTTTATTGCCTTGACATCTGCTGGGAGGGCGTTCCACAGGGCAGGCGCCACTACTGAGAAGGCCCTCTGCCTGGTTCCCTGTAACCTCACTTCTCAGTGCTGGACCTCAGTGTCCGGGCTGAACGATGGGGGTGGAGACGCTCCTTCAGGTATACAGGGCTGAGGCCGTTTAGGGCTTTAAAGGTACAACACCAACACTTTGAATTGTGCTCGGAAACATGACTGGGAGCCAATGAAGATCTTTCAGGACCGGTGTTATATGGTCTCAGCAGCCACTTCCCAGTCACCAGCTGCTGCATTCTGGATTAGTTGTAGTTTCCGGGTCACCTTCAAAGGTAGCCCCACATAGAGCGCATTGCAGTCTCAGTCACCAGTCTACTGTAGCTGCCACATTCTGGATTAATAAAGAGGTATAAGGGCGCTTTAAAGGCATGGTGGTGATCTGAGCTTACCTATGGTCTTTCTAGCTACAAGGTGTGCTGATGGTCACTAACTCAGGTGGTTTCTAAGGGGGGAGGAGCAAGGGTATTGCAAGGCACTTAAAAGATGCAGGAGCACAGATTCATGACACCCGCTGATTGGCCTCTGAGCAAACTGGATAACCACAGTGAATATGTTTGTAGGGAAGCGGAAGGAGATCAGGTGCTCACACACACACACACACCGGCGTTGCCTTCTAAAAATACCCTTAAAGCTCAGGGGGAGGAGGTCAGTCTATCAATGGCATATGGCTACCTAGAACGTAAGAGCCTGCTGTGTCAGGCCAGTGTCCCATCCAGTCCAGCATCCTGTTCTCACAGTGGCCAACTAGATGCCTGTTGGAAACCTGCAAGCAGAATTTGAGCCCAAGAGCAACTCTCCCCTCCTGCTCTTTCCAGCAGGTGGGATTCAAAACATCACTGCTTCCAACAGTAGAGACAGAGCAGAGGGACCCCTGACCATTAGATCCAGTCGTGGATGACTCTGGGGTTGCGGCGCTCATCTCGCTTTATTGGCCGAGGGAGCCGGCGTACAGCTTCCGGGTCATGTGGCCAGCATGACTAAGCCGCTTCTGGCGAACCAGAGCAGCGCACGGAAACGCCGTTTACCTTCCCGCCAGAGTGGTACCTATTTATCTACTTGCACTTTGATGTGCTTTCGAACTGCTAGGTTGGCAGGAGCAGGGACCGAACACCGGGAGCTCACCCCGTTGCAGGGATTCGAACCGCCGACCTTCTGATCGGCAAGTCCTAGGCTCTGTGGTTTAACCCACAGCACCAGAGGCATCCTGGCTAGTAGCCGTTGGCAGCCCTCTCCCCCTCCATGCATTTGTCCAGTTCTCTTTAAAAGCCACTGAAATGGGTGGCCATCCCTGCCTCCTGTGGGAGCAAGTGCCATAGTTTGAATTTGTGCCGTACGAAGGAGGACTTCTTTTCTCTGTCCTGAATCTTTCGGCATTCCGCTTCAAAGAGAAAAACAACTACAGTGGTGCCTCGCAAGACGAAATTAATTGGTTCCGCGAGTTTTGTCGTCTTGCGATTTTTTTCGTCTTGCGAAGCACGGTGTCGGGAAAGTTTTGGAAAAGCTTCAAAAATCACCAAAGTCTTCAAAAACCTCAAAAAGGCTACCACACCGCGTTCTATGAGTTGCTCCTCGAAGTCAAGTCGCAACTGTATTAACGGTGTTAAGAAAAAGGAAACAAACTTGCAAGACGTTTCCATCTTGCGAATCAAGCCCATAGGGAAAATCGTCTTGCGAAGCAGCTCAAAAAACAAAAAACCCTTTCGTCTAGCGAGTTTTTTGTCTTGCGAGGCATTCCTCTTGCAAGGTACCGCTGTGCCAGACTTTTAGAAGACATCTGAAGGCAGCCCTGTTTAGGGAAGCTTTTGATGTTTAATAGGTTATTGTATTTTAGTGTTCTGTTGGAAGCCGCCCAGAGTGGCTGGGGGGACCCAGCCAGATGGGCGGGGTATGTATAAATAAATAAATAAATATTATTTATATTATTATATTATATTATATTATATTATATTATATTATATTATGATTATCCATGAATTCTAGTGTTATGAGAGAGGGGGAAAGACTTTTCTCTATTCACTTTCTCATGCCATAGTTGGGGGCGCTTTGCCACTGAACCCCCAACTCAGCCATGAAGTTTTCTGGATGACTTTGGGTCAGTCACCGTCTCTCAGCCCAAGCTACCTCACAAGGTTGTTGTGTGGGATTAAATGAGACGCAGGGAGAACCATGAAGAAAAAAAGGTAGGGTATAAATGCAATAAATAAATGATAATAAATAAATCAGCAACCCATTTGGCCTGGCTTCTTGCCTGAAATAACCTGATGGCTCTTGAGTAATATTTATTTACAGTGGTACCTCGGGTTACAGACGCTTCAGGTTACAGACTCCGCTAACTCAGAAATAGTACCTTGGGTTAAGGACTTTGCTTCAGAATGAGAACAGAAATTGCATGGAGGCAGCAGCAGGAGGCCCCATTAGCCAAAGTGGTACCTCAGGTTAAGAACAGTTTCAGGTTAAGAACGGACCTCCGTAACGAATTAAGTTCTTAACCCAAGGTACCACTGTATTTGTGATGCCCATGGCTCTGTGGTCAATCTGGACTAACCTCCTCTCACTGCTCTTTCAGCGGGAGATATCCTGCACCTGGTTGCCCTAGCAGAAGAAGCATACTGCTGCTCTGTCATGATCCGGCCGCTGGTGCCTTCCTCTGGCGGAGATGCAAGAAGCAAATTCTCCGAGACTGGGCTGGAGGGGTTCCTCGACTACGTCTGCTCCCTCTCCCTGCCCATTTTGGTGGGGTACGACATCTGGTCTGTGGACCATCTCCCAGCCCTGGTTGGCGCCCTGCAAGCTATCAACAAGGAGGAAAGATTTGAAGCCTCCATCTTTGGTTTCATCGATGCCTTGCCCCTCATTAAGGAGAAGGTCCCAGAGTTGCCCAGCTACACGCTGAAAAGCCTGGACTACACATATCGCTGGGGTGACCTGAACGACACGCGGGCCGACGACTGCGCCAAGGCTCTGAAGGATTTGTGTACTGTCTTGGAGGTTAACCCTGTGATGGAGAGAAGGACAGTCATTGCCTACTCCAACATACAGTCCTACGCCTCCCTGCGACCCCTCATGTCGCAGAAGCTCCTCTCCGAGGCCTCTGCAAAGACCTTGGCGCTGCACAATGTCTGCCTTTCCATGCTCCAGCACATCTATCAAGAGGACCCAGAAAGGGGACTGAGCAAATTGTGCAGGTTCCTGAATCGCCACCGAAAGGTCACGGAGGAAAAAATCCAAAAGCTGAGCAAGATTCGCTTCTACTTCCAACAACTGCAGCCGGCAGCTTGGCATCTGCTGCCGGAAGCAACCTCATAGAATCTTAGAACTGGAAGGGACCCAAGAGGCATCTAGGAAAGAGAGTCCATCACCTCTCATGGGAGTCTGTTCCACTGCTGAACAGCTCTTACTGTTTTTGCGAATGTTTCGTCGGAATCTCCTTTCTTGTGACTTGAAGCCATTGCCTCGAGTCCGACCCTCCAGAACAGCAGATTCTACAATTCCATGCTTCTACCATGTTAATGAAATAAGTACTTTTTTTTTTACTTTTTTTTTACTAAAGCACATCTTTATTTTGCAATTAAGCAATTAAGATCCACAAGTAAACTATGTTTTTTTCTTCAAGTTTGTACCTAGACAACTATTTGTCAATAAAAACGCAATCAGGGAACCATAATAGAAATACTCAATCTGGCCCAAGCATAAAGAGAAGGGAGGAAAATTAACTCAGTCAACCTGCAACATCGTTCCATGCAGCTGCATGAGTTGATAAGGGTCAGCCATTATCACCAACCTCTGGAGCCATAGCTGTCCACTTTTCCCTTTTCTTGTGAGGAATCCTATTCGTAATAAGGGAATTTACCTTTAAAAAAAGGAAATGTTGACAGCTGTGCTCTGGGGTTGACTCAACTCAGCACTGGAGTTTCATTTTGCAAGTCCAGCTGAAACCTTTTCAGTAGAGCTATCTTTGTCCTCTAGGACAGGATTGGGGCCCCTGTGGCCACCCAGATGTAGCTGAACTAAAACTCCCCCCATCCCTGACCCCTGGCTACTCTGGGCAGGGTTCATGGGAGTTGAGAGTCCAACAACCTCCGGTCCCCAAACTTTCCTACCCCATCCTAGAAAATGGCTCACAGGGCAATCCTACACATCTACTCGGAAGTAAGCTCATTGAGTTTAATGGGACTTACTCTCAGGTAAGTGTGTGCAGGATTGGAGCCTAAATGTTGTCTCTCAACATCTGAAGAGCACACCCAGATCGTTTGCCCATTGCTTTGTGATTCCTGATTCCTGGCAGGCAGTAATAGCTGTGGGCTGTCAATGAGAGAATTTCAGGAGGTGCTGATTTTCTCTGCCTTCCAGCCCTACACTTTGGTAATTCTACAATGCAACAGATCACCCTAATGCAGATATAGCAGCCAACCCAATTTAATATCGCAGCTCCAGACTACGTCAGTTCAAAAGCAGTTTCAGAACGGTTTCAGTTTCAGAACCCTTTTAAATGTGTGTGGTGGGTGGAGCTATTAGTTTCGTTATTTCTTATTTTTACTCTGCATTCTGTGTTTTTTATATTGTATTTTTATGTTGTGAACCGCCCTGAGATCTACAAATGAAGGGTGCTATGTAAATTTAATAAACAAATAATAATAATAAATTCAGGGACTAGTTGACCTCCATTTGCTGTCTGCTACAGCTTTCCCCAACAAGCACTGACTTGCACCTGAGGCTAATTTTAGTTCCTTCCTTTTTTCCTCCAGAGTTTGCATTTAGCACAAGGTGTGTTTGGGTTCCTCGTTACCTGAGTCAGGTGAGAGTGGACTTTGGGGGTGGGATATAAAGGTTTGCAGAGAACAGTCGTGTTTGTTGCTGGATTTCTTGAAGAAGCAAAATGGGGCTTGGGGCAAACTTGGCTGTTGTCTTACTCTGCTGGGGGGTTGCTGCTTATGACCCCTGGCAGTTTGCTCCGAGGAACTCAATTTGGAGAACTGCCAGGCCCGTGTCCCCTGCTCCCTCCTGGCCTGAGTCCTCTCCCTGGGCTTGGGTTGATGCTTCCCAGGTGAGAGCGTTGTCCTACTTCGCCCCTGTGGCTGTGCAGTGTGGAGAGGCCCAAGTGGTAGTAACCGTGAACAGGGACCTGTTTGGGACTGGAAGGCTTATCCAGGCAACGGACCTCAGCCTGGGATCTTCGGGCTGCCACTACACCTCCTATGATGCTGCCAAGGATGTAGTGATCTTTGATGTTGGGCTCCATCAGTGTGGCAGCATCCTGCAGGTAACTCTGTATTAATTACCTATGTTGACCTATCCTATGCATGCTTCTGCATTTGTTTCCAGGCTAGTTAAATGGCTTGGCCTGGGGTCCAGTTAAGAGGCCTAATCCCTACCCTTCAGGTTATTGTGACACTGGCTACCCTGGGTTCTTTGAAACTGCAATAGGTGAAATGCTGAGATCCTGAAAAGTTTAAACCTGGGGGTAGGAACGTGGTGCCCTCTCAGATGTCTTCACATGTGAACCGAATCAAATTCTTCCTCCATTCCTTGTTGCTCCTCCCCCTCTGCATCACCTGACGGCTAGTCCTGAGGTTTGCCCTTTTTTAATCTTTGGATTCAGCCAACAGCTATTTCACTTTGTGCAGTTGCTTGTTAGCAGGCTTTGGCATTCAAGTTTGAAAGGGAGAATATAAACTGCACAAGGCTTTCTAGCTACTGAAATCTAGTAAAGGTAAAAGGTAAAGGACCTCAGACCGTTAAATCCAGTTGCGGACAACTCTGGGGTTGCGGCGCTCATCTCGCTTTATTGGCAGAGGGAGCCGGCGTACAGCTTCCAGGTCATGTGGCCAGCATGACTAACCGCTTCTGGTGGAAGCAGAGCAGCGCACGGAAACGCCGTTTACCTTCCCGCCGGAGTGGTACCTATTTATCTACTTGGCCTTGATGTGCTTTCAAACTGCTAGGCTGGCAGGAGCAGGGACAGCAACAGGAGTTCACCCAGTCACGGGGATTCGAACCACTGACCTTCTGATCGGCAAGCCCTAGCCTCTGTGGTTTAGACCACAGCGCCACCTGCGTCCCTGAAATCTAGATAAAAGGACTCTATTAGGAGACTTAGATTAGGCTCTGTGGATCATTATCTGTCTGAAGCATTCTGGCCTGACATCCTTCCCAACGGACTCCTTACACATCCTTGGTCCAAGGTGTTTGTAAACAGTAGATGAAACAATCTCAAAAGTCCTCTTGCACAAAAGTTCCCTCCTGCTTTTATTTTAATATTTTATACTGCAACTTCATTTTTTAAAAAATCAAATTGATTTACAACAGTTGGATAGATAAAAAGTCACAAATCACAAGCTGACTTTTACAGAACATTCTTAATTTTTCTGCATTAGCCTGTCAGCAAATGTTTAAGTTTTCCAACTAGGACATCTTCTGAATTGCTATTAGCAGAGCATTTCACAGGACTGGGCCAATGACACAAAATGCTTGGTTTCTCCCAAGTGTTCGTTTTTCAGCAAGCCAGTTTTTTTCTAGGGAGGGAGAGGGATTTTTATTTGTTGCTATTGTTGGACATTGGGTAGTCAAACTTTCTCTAATCCACTGCAAAGCACCTAGACAATCTTCCTTTTAAAAAAAAAAATATTTCCAAAACTGAAAAAATAAAAACTACAAACATCAAATTCAACATCCATATTCATTTTCTAACATAAACCTATTACATAATTAACAAAATTAAAATATACTCTAAAATTACTCTAAACTTCTCTTTGCTGTATACAAATATAACAGTTAGAAATTTTTTATTAAAGCTTTTATATTATAAATATTTCAAATTCCCCTATACCCCCGTTCCCCTTAACCCATGTGTGATCTTTTTTTTCCTTCTTCCGTCTTGTTGTGTTGTTATAATTTAATCATTTTTCAGCTGATTCTTTTATTTCCTTGCTCACCCCTGCACGTTTTACACGTTATCTATTAATATTCCAGTTCCGGAACCATATTTTTTCATACATTCCTTCACTCCCTCCCACTCTTTAATTCTGATTTGAATGGCCTCTAATAGTTGCCGTCATTTTTGCCATTCTAATAATGATGGTACCAGCATCTAGACAATTTTCCTGAAGCTCCTGCAGGACTTCTGCCCACCTGTGGTCTTAAATTATCCTTGGACTAAAAGTACACAATGAGGCTCAATGGGTCGTCTTGCATTCCCTCCTCCAGATGACTCCAGAATCCCTGGTCTACAGCATAAGCTTATACTATAAGCCTAGTCCCAGCGCCAATGCAGTTGTCATGCGTACCAGCCCAGCTGAAGTCCCTATTGAATGTCACTATCCAAGGTGAGTTGGGGAGATGGCGGCAATGGCAGGCACTTAGGAGCCGTTCACATGCACAGCAGGGCAGTGGCTCCCAAATATTTTTGGGCTACACCCCCCCCCCGGTTGCATAAACTCATTCCTAGTGCCCCTACCATACCCTTTGCACGACCCACTAAGGAAGATTTTAAAAAGGTAAAGGACCACTGACAGTTATGTCCAGTCGCGAACAACTCTGGGGTTGCGGCGCTCATCTCGCTTTATGAGCTGAAGGAGCAGGCGTTTGTCCACAGACAGTTTTTCCAGGTCACGTGGCCAGCATGACTAAGCCACTTCTGGCGAAACCAGAGCAGCGCACGGAAATGCCGTTTACCTTCCTGCTGGAGTGGTACCTATTTATCTACTCGCACTTTGACGTGCTTTTGAACTGCTAGGTTGGCAGGAGCTGGGACTGAACAAAGAGAGCTCACCCGGTTGTGGGGATTCGAACTGCCGACCTTCTAATCTGCAAACCCTAGGCTCAGTGGTTTAGACCACAGCGCCACCCGCGTCCCTGGTCTAAGGAAGATAATAATGCAATAATAGTTACGGTTCTGAATTTTTATTGCTCATTTCTTCAAAATCCAATTAAAACTTTCATTAATTCAGCAAAAGTGATGAACTTGATCCAGTGATAACAGCTATACAAGGTCTAGTAGTCATTTGACCACTTTGAGAACCACATCTATAGGGGCCTTTCACCTTATTTATTTCTCTTTCCAGGCGAAGCAACGTGAGCAGCGACGCCATCAAGCCAACTTGGGCTCCCTTCAGCTCCACCATTTCCGCAGAACACAGGCTGGGCTTCTCCTTGCGCTTAATGAACGGTACTTGAAAATTACGAAACAGGCCATTAGCCCAGTGTAGGGTGGCAGCACTAGGCAGGGCCCACTGCTGAGGCAAGGGAGTTTGGGGGCAGGAGGCACTTTCACCTTTTTCCAAGCAAGCACCAGGCAGCTGGATCTGGCCACCCCTAAATGTATCTGCAGCATCCCTGGCC